TCAGACTCTGTTTCCTCCTTTCCTCAACTATACATGGCCCCCAGACTCACCACCTGCCGTAGTGCCTCCATGACAAACTTGTTGTTGATGCCCAAGCACCCCAGAGCCTGCAGGAAGAGGGATGGAGGACAGGAAGGAGAACTTGGACCCCACCCCTAGGAGTTACCATCCTCTGGACACAGCTGGAGTTTGTACTTGGAATACCACCCCCAACCCCATCATCCATCATCTCAAGCAGCTTTTTATGTTCCAGCTCAGCCAACTCCTAGGTGTCACCACCATCCTCTTCCTTGGCCACTTCTCACCTGTGCTGCATAGAGCTGCTCATCCTCTCTGGGAGAGTTCAGGCTTTCTGTGAGTTCCTGCCCATCCAAGGCAGCCAGTAGAAAGGAAGAAAGAGACAAATATGGTTATAGAACTTCAGACTAGGAGCTCATCCAATCCAATCCCTCTTCCTTCCTCCCCTCCATTTTGCACGCAGGGACTGAGGGCTGAGGGTAGTGTGAGCCCAAGGCAGGGGGACCCCCACAGGGAGGGAGTCTTTCCATTCCCTCTTCCCACCACGGTCCTGACCTTTATTCTTTGCCACTTCAAGGGGTCCCCGGTAGGCTCTAAGGGCTTGGATCCCACCTGAGATTTTATAGTCAGCTTGCTCATGGAGAGATGGAATTTTTCGATTTGGGTACCCTCTTTGCAGTACCTGTGTGAGAAGTTGCACAGGCAGTCTTTGTCCCTTTGCATCTTCCCTTCTTAGGTCGCAAGCCCTCCTCTGCCATGGGGCCTCAGCCCAGCTCAGAGATGGGACCAGAGCAAGACAGATGAGGGCTCGGTGATATCCAACCTGAGCCCATCTAAGCCACCCTTCTACCCCAGGGTCCTCTCTGGGACCTATAGGCTGACTTGCCCCATTCCCTGGCCTACCGCTTCCTTATCCTTCCTCTCTTTCCTAGAAGATGTGGAGGGCGAGGAGAATAGGGAGGTGGGCAAAGCACACCTAGAGTGATCTCTTATTTTCTGCAACATCTTCTGGACCTCCTGTTCCCCTCGATGGCCATACAGGATGTGCCAGTGTGTGTAGATTTTAGGCTTCTGCGAGTAGCAATAAGGGACCGACTTTGGCTTGCCTGGGTCCTGCCTCCAGCGCTCCGGACTTGGGGGAAATTCTTCCTTTGGCATCTGGAGGGTATGAGTGGCAGAGCAGTCAGAAGGGTCCCCTAAGCCCTTACTTGTGGGGTATTGGGAGGAAGGGGTGAAGGAAGGGGAGGGCAGAGTGAGACAGATGCACTTCAGCCTCTCATCTGGGCTGGAGTCACAGCTGCCACCTAACCCACTGCATGACTGGCACAAGTTACTTCATCCCACCAAGGTCTCAGTCTTCTCATCTGTAAAATGGAGCTAATAGTTTTTTTTTTTATCTGTTCCCCACTCAAGGTTGTTGTGAAGATCAAAAGAGATCCAGATCGTGAAGCCATCGGTGATCTGCAAATCAATCTGAGTACATAGTTTGGTTAGTTGACGATCTCAAAGTACTTTGTAAAGGTCATTTGGGTGGGGAGATGATAAAGCAATGGGTGGAGGAGATGTGGAATAAAGGTAGGGGAAAGACAGGCTACTGCTCATTGAGATATTTATTGGAGTACCTACTATATGCCAAGCACTGTGCTAGGTGCTAGGGTTGCAGTTGTCATCCCTGTCCTCATGGAATTTAACAGCTTAGGTTGGGAAAGCAGTCTCTGTCTCTCTGTCTCTCTGTCTGTCTGTCTCTCTCTTTCCTTTCTGAGATGGGGTCTTGCCCTGTCACCCAGGCTGGAGTGTAATGGCACAATCATAGCTCACTGCAGCCTGAACACCTGGGCTCAAGCAATAGAGATGATTATTTAAACTGCAGCTCTGATGTAGTGGGATATTTTGGGTGGGTCAGGGGCTTTTTCTGAGTATTTAGCTGGGATTCATCTGTGTCTCTTCTCAAGCCTTTCTATCCTTACAACAGATCTCTCTGGGCAATAGGGAAAAGGGGCCTCAGCCAATGGTTCCCAACTTGGTGATTGAAATCATAATAGGGTTCTGAAGTTATTGACAAGATTTCAGAAAATAGAGCATTGACTCATGGTGAGTAGGGTTGCCAGATTTAGAAAAAACAAAAACAAACAAACAAAAAACAGGACATCAAGTTAGATTTGGATTTCAGGTAATGAATGAAATATTTGGGACTTTTTTTTTTTGAGACAGAGTCTCACTCTGTCACTCTGGGTAGAGTGTAGTGGCATCACCATAGTTCACAGCAACCTCAAACTCCTGGGCTCAAGTGATCTTCCTGCCTCAGCCTCCCAAGTAGCTGGGACTACAGGTACACACTACAATGCGCAGCTAATTTTTCTATGTTCAGTAGAGACAGGGTGTTGCTTATGCTCAGGCTGGTCTTGAACTCCTGAGCTCAAGCAATCCTCTAGCCTTGGCCTCCCAGAGTGCTAGGATTACAGGTGTGAGCGCTCAGCCTGGGACATGTTTGTACTAAAAACAATTAATTGTTTATCTGAAATTCAAATTTAACTGGGCATCCCATATTTTATCTGGCAACTGTAATGGTGAGGCCCCTGTGTTACCTAATATTAATAAAGGTTACTTCCATTACTAGTCACTCCCTGCATAACCCAGGCTTTATAGACTTTGTCTCATAGCATCTCTACAAAGGGAGTTTGGGCCTTGACAAAGGAAGCTCCTGAGGCCCAGAGAGGGAAAGTGACTTGTCCAAGGTCATACAGAATTAATGGCAGCTCTGGAGTGAATGTCAGTGTTCTGTGAGCTGGCCTGAACAGGAAGGGACAATTTGCTCCCCTTCTACTTTGACACAGCTCTCAGGGTAGCAAAAGTTAGGGGTCTTACCTGGTAGCAGGACAAAGGCAGGTAAACAGGAGCTGGAGCTTTTCTGTGTTCTGGCAAGAGGGGTAAGAGAGTGTGGGACAAATGAGACAGCAGTTGCAATGGTGGGTTAAAGAATCATTCATTCAGCATTTAGTGAATATTAGTACAGGTATTTCACTAGGCACCAGAGGGCTAAGCAAGGCATAATTCCTGTCTTTGAGGAGCTCATAGTATTCTTGTTTCCTGCTACTCAAAATGTGTTCCACGGAACAGCAGCATTGCCATGGCCCGGGAACTTCTCCAAAGGTAGAGCCTCAGGCTCCACCTCTGACCTGCTGAATCAGAGTCTTAATGTTAACAAAGCCCTAAGCGACTGCTTTGTACTTTGAAGTTTGAGAATCTCTGGTCTAGCAGGGTGTTCTCAGCCGTGGCAGCATATTAGAGTTGCTAGAGGGAACTTGTAACATGCCCAGGCCCTACATCAGACGAATTCAATCAGATTCTGTGGGGATGGGGCCTAGGCATTTTGGAAACCTCCCTGAAGACTCTAATGTGCTGCTCAGGGTGAAAACCACTGGTCTCATCTGGGTTCTTTAGCCTGAGCGTACATTAGAATCACCTGGAGACCTTGTTGAAACGGATTTCTGAGACTCATTCCCACAGCATCTGATTCACTAGCTCAGAGGTGGAGTCTGAGAATTTGCACTTCCAACAAGATGCTGCTGGTCTTGGGACCACATTTTGAGAACCACTGGTCTAGCCGGTGAGACGGAATGATTCTTAGCGATGAATGGAGGGTAACGAATGTGAAGGCAGACGTAGGCACAGGTGGTACAGATGAGGGGCCCCTAAGCTGGCTGGGAGGATCAGGGAACGTTTTCAAGAGGAGATTGCACACAGTTGAGTCTTCGGTACAAGCAGGAGTTAGCCAGAAAGGTAAGGGGAAGAGCATCAGCCACATGGAATGCCTTATGCAAAGACTTGCAGGTGTACAGGTGTGGGAGCAGAAGCTGAGGAGACACACAGGTGTCCCATCTTAGGAGTCCCTATAGGCCCTACTGAGGAGCTGGAGCCATCACAGTGTCCAAGAGCCTGCCCTGCCATTTCCCATAGATTGACTGAACTCGCCCAGACCCTTGCTTGGGAGTGGGAGCCTGGGAGCCTGGGAGCCTTGCTTTTTCAGGCCCCTGCCCTGGCTCCATTCCTGTCCATTACAGCCTCACCTTTGGTCTTGTTTCCATATTCCAGCCATGGGAACGTGAACATGGACTTGGAGACATCAAAGACATAGGCTGAGTTTTTAGAGGCCAGCTTCTTCTTCTTCTGCTCCTCATGGTAGGAGACCTGGGCAAAAGGAAATATAAGGCTGTCGGGGGAGTAGGGGCGCAGCTGGAGGATACCCGACCTCTGTGCCATCAGAGAGACTGGTAAGGTGTCCAGACTTCTGGAGGTAGAAGCTTCCAAGTGCTGAGCAACCAGATTGCTTTGGTAAATAGAACACATGAGTTCCATTCTTGGGCCCCAGCCTGTCTACTGGCCTGTGGACTTGAGCTAGTCATGTTACCTCTTTGAGCTTCAGTTTCCTCATCTGAAAAGTGAGAAAGTCATGCTTGTCTGGCTAACTGAAGGGGCTATGATGAGGCATAAATTGGAAAAAGAAATTTGAGAATTGGTGAACTGTCAAGCTCAAGTATGGGGACCCATGTGAGGGTCAGGGTTTGTTTTTAGGATTGGCCATCAGGAAAATGATGAGCAAGTCCCTTTATACACACACCTGGCAAGAGACTGAATTCTTATCTGTGGTGTAAGGAGCGGCCTTTCATTCCTCCTACTTCTGCATATGCTGTTCCCTCTACCTGTCAGTCCTTTCCCTTCCTTTTCTTTTCTTTTCTTTTCTTTTTTTTTTTTTAGAGACAGGATCTTGCTCTATTGCCCAGGCTGGAGTGCAGTGGTGCAATCATAGCTCACTGCAGCCTTGAACTCCTGGGCTGGAGTGATCCTTCTGCCTCAGCCTTCTGAGTAGCTGAGACTACAGGCAAGTGCCACCACGTCCTGATAATTTTTTTTCATTTTTTGTAGAGATGGGGTCTTGCTCTTGCTCAGGCTGGTCTCAAACTCCTGGCCTCAAGTGATCCTCCTGCCTCAGCCTACCCAAGTGCTGGGATTACAGGTATGAGCCACCATGCCCAGCCTCTTCCCTTCCTTTTCTACCTGTTAAAATGTTCCTCAAATCTTTCAAAGTCTACCCAAATGTTAGCTCATCTCTGAAGTCTCTCTTCTCTCCCAGGCTCCCTCACCACATGACCACTGCCTTTTTTATAGTTTCTTCCCTGTGTGTGTTTAATCATATGTGTGTTTAATCATATGTTTAATCTGTTCATAGGTCTGTCTTCCTCACTGGACTGTGAGCTGCCTAAAGGTAATGATTGTGCTTTGTGGCTTATTTACCCATCTATTTCACCCCCTCCCCCCAACCATCCCCTGTTCCCGACACACAGCAGGCAGCTCACTGTAGCAAGAAAGCATGGGTCACTAAGCCATTAAACCAGGAAACTGACATCATGTTCTCTGGTGTGATGCACTGAGAAAGACATCATCCAGGTAGTAGTCCTACCAAAAAAGTTTCACTTGAATCTAATTGTGGGGAAATAGGCAAATCCAAATTAAGAAACATTCTACAAAAATCTGATCTGTGCTCCTAAAAAATATCATTGTCCTTAAAGACAAAAAATGTATGTTAAAGGACACTAAAAAGGCGTGATGGCCAAATTCAATATGTGTGCTTAATTGGATCTTGGATTTTCAAAAAGTAGCTATAAAGGACATTATTGGGACAACTGGGGGGGATTTGATTATGGACTGTATATTGTGTCATTGCTAAGTGTTCTGAGTATGCTACTCATTCTGTGGTTATGTAGCATGCCTTGTTTTAGAAGATACATACTGAAACTTTTAGGGGTGAAGTGACATCACACCTGCAACTTACTCTGAAATGGTTTAGAAAAAAATTGTATGTACTAACCACACACACACACACACACACACATACACACACACAAAGCAAATGTGGTAAAATGTTAATACTTGAATCTAACTGAAGGGTATATAGGTGTATGCTTTCAAATTTTGCAAGGGTTTGAAATTTTGCAAATTAAAGGTGGGGAATAAAAGCATGGGCTTTGTCATTAGACCTGGTGAGTTTAAATCTTAATTGTAAACCTTCTCCCCCACTTTATTTTTCTTTGAGTTGCAGGACTTTGGGCAAATCATTTCCCTCTCTTGCCAAGGGTTTTCCTGACTTCAAACAGGGCTAATTATAGCACCTACCCTGTGGGGTTATGAGGCTGAAAAAGGATGATGAATGTGAGGGGCTGAGCCAACGCCTGGCATGTAGTGAGCACTCGGCTGATGTTAACTGCAGCTGTGACTGTATATGTTATCAATGTATATTCACATGAAGAGTCACAGGGACGGGAAGGTTGGAGTAGTCCCACCTTAAAAGACCTGGTGAAGTCGTGGAAAATCACAAAGTACCTCATTCTCCTTATTTGAAAGACTTGAGGCATTTGGAATCGCCATTACTTCTGTTATGGGGACAAGGGTGGTGTACCTATTCCACTGTAGATAAGGTCAAGGGTCGGCTCAGGTGGAAAGGCCAACCCAAGTCTGAGGAAACAGGGAGGCACTGTGGCAGGGAGTGAGATAAATAAACTCTTGGGGACTTGGGGGTGGGGATGTGGTGACGGTTATCCCCTGTACCCTGCCAGAGTGGATGAGTCACTTAGTTACTTTAACCATTCTGCCAGCCTATGCCTCCTTTTCAGGGAGCTTTTGCTCTCAGGTCTGCCTACTGGGCTGGGCTGTGGCCCCCAAATCTAGGCTGGACAGCAGATGTGTGCAAGCCCCTGGACCCCTGCACCCTTAATGCTCATGGGAAGGAGGGTTCCCGGGGAGGAAGTCAAACCAACAGCCAGCTTTGTAACTGCAATGAGAATTTTAATAGAAAGCTGATTTTTCATATTTGCCTGTCAGCCCTTGTGAGGAGCTGAGATGGGGGCTCAGGAGCTCAATCTTCCTTCCTTCTTTGCCTCTGGAGGCACACTGACTTCCTTCCTGGTTGCAGAGCCATGGCCAAGCCAAGGAGCCTGAAGCTCAGAGCCTAGAAACTTCCCTTTGATAAGGCAGAGCCTCAGGAGCTTGTCCAGGCTTTAGGTGGGGAGGGGAGGGAGGGGCTTTTATAAGTGCTGCTGTGTGGTGGAATCTGTGCCCTCCCAGGAGGGGTTGGAGGCAGGGGATTGGAAGGAGGCCTCCCAAGCTGGTTAGGACAGGAGCAAGCAGCAGCAGGAGAGTTTGTGCAAGTTCGTGTTCAAGGCGCCTTCCTCCATCCTAGCTCATCTCCAAAGAGTTGATGTACTCCCGAACCCATTTCTTCTCTGGGTTGGCACACACCTGGCGGTTCTTTCGGGTGATAAAGCTGTGGGAGAGAAGAAGAAAAGGGTGAGAGCTTGTCAGCACTGGGACAGTTTGGAGGATGAGGTGGATTAGACATAAAGGCAAATAATGACGGTACTTGGGTAGGGCATTTTCAGAGCTCCATGAGATTTTGCTTGTGGTCTTTAAGGAGAGGACATTTCCTATACTGTTGGATCAAAAGGCTCCAAGCCAGAAGCAAATCTGTGTGCATTTTAACTATCATACAAACACAAAAGCTAAGGGGATTTGGAGCCTTGGAGCTCATGGTTAAGTCAGCTAACCAGTAGCCTTTTCTCAGCACTTCCTCTGTTCCAGGCCCTGTGCTGGATGCTTAAGATGCAGAGAGAATAAAGTGTCCCCTAAGAACAAAATCATGAATAAGTAGAAGACAAGAAGTACTTAAAAGAACATATGATTTGGCTTTAGACAGTACAGTGCCTGGCACAGAATAGACACTCAGCAAATGAATACATGAATACAGCTATCCATGGGTGGGTGGGTGAAAGAAGGACATGAACCTGAGTCTTGATCATACCACTTATTAGTTGGATCACTGTGTGAAAATCACTTAGGGCCTCTGAGTCTATTTGCGAACCTCTAAAAGGTGGATAGGAATAATTCCTACTTTGCACAATTGTTCTGATGCTCAAATGCGTGAAGTTTTGAAAAATACCATTAATGTGTTGTTGTTGTTGTTAGAATGCTGTGAGACCACTGCTTTAGGGTGGAAACCAGAGGTCCTGGAACTGGACACTGTGGCTCAGAGAGGTTGAGGACCCTGAGATGTTGGTAATGTCAAAGCAATTCTACCAATGGACCAGCCACCACGCGGATTTCTGTGAGAGTTAGAGGCCTTCTCTCTACAGATGTTGATGGTCTCAGCTGCAAGTACAAAAGGTGGGGGCCTGTCTGCTGGGAGACCTGGGGCCTTGCTAGCAGTGCTGTCAGTTAACACGTTACTTCTATTTTTTTTTATTTTTTAATATTTTATTTTATTTTATTTATTTTATTTTATTTTATTTTTTTTGAGAAAGAGTCTCACTTTGTTGCCCAGGCTAGACTGAGTGCCTTGGCATCAGCCTAGCTCACAGCAACCTCAAACTCCTGGGCTCAAGCGATCCTCCTGCCTCAGCCTCCCGAGTAGCTGGGACCACAGGCATGAGCCACCATGCCCAGCTAATTTTTTGTATATATATATTTTAGTTGGTCAATTAATTTCTTTCTATTTTTAGTAGTGATGGGGTCTCGCTCAGGCTGGTTTCGAATTCCTGACCTCGAGCAATCCGCCCGCCTCGGCCTCCCAGACTGCTAGGATTACAGGCGTGAGCCACCACGCCTGGCCAACATGTTACTTCTAGATCGGCCCTGCCTGCTTGGCCCTTTCTCATTTTGGCTTCTCTGTTAGGATATTTTCCTGTACATTTTTTTTTAATTTGAGCATTGATTTTGCTTAAGTTAGAACACCAGATAAAATATTTCAGAGGGTCTCATAGGAAGAAAATGAACTATGTATTGTTGTACAGCTGTCCAGAAATTTATTTTTTACATCTTATTGAGCCATACAGTATACCTCATAATTATATGTTACAACAAAGGAATTATGTCTCAGAGAACATAGGAAATTTATAATTCAGCCTTTGCTTTTGTGATTACTGTCATATTTTTGAAAATATAAATGTATTCCCTATGCTGAAGTATTATGCTCAAATATGTTCTGATTTGCTATGTACCGACCTCATTTAAATATCTTATCACTCATTCATTCTTTGGTTTAATATTTTCATCTTTTCTATAAACATGTACCAGGGTTTCTGTCAAAGTCACTAGGTTTGTGTGGTTCTCCTGATTCCATGCTTAACAGCATTTAAAATTTTCTTTAAAAGATTGTGATAAAATGCATGTAACATAAAACTTACCATCTTCTGTGTGTGAGCAATTTATGAAAAAATATTTTAAAAAGAAAAATAATGTATCATCTTTAAGTGTGTTCCATACATTCTTGAGCCCAAATGTTTTCAGACAAAGTGAAGGCTCATGTTGTCTGGTGAGAATGAGGATTGCTCTTTGGGTGCTATCATGGATTTGCTGTCTTCATCTTTCCTGCGCCTTGCTCAGAGTCACTTGGTCTCTGTTTCTCCAACCCTGGTGTGCAGCCATGAGAAAAGGAGCAGAAGGGGTATTCTGGGCTCTCCTGTCTCCTAGTGTTTGCTTTTGTATTTGGGGCAGTGTGGGAGCCTCAGACACAGCCCCTGCCCTTGTTCCACCAGGAGCCATACAGGAAATCCTGCCAGACTTGCAGTGCCCTCTCCTTGGCACCCTCAGCCTGTGGCTACAAAGCCAAAAGGCCAGGAAACCAATACTTGAGGTCAATATGGAGGAAGTGGAGGTTGCTCAGGTCTCCATTTCCTCCTCCTTCCAGCAGCCTGTGATACCAGAGAACAGCCCCGCCTTGCCGAGTCTTCCCTCCTTGCCCATGTTTTTTTGCACCCTCTACTTGCCCGACTTCCCTCCTTCCACCTGCTACTTAAGAGCAGGTGTTCTCAAAGTTGCTGTCGTTTTCTCTGAGTTCTTTTCCAGGTCTCAGGCCCTAGGCCTGGCACACAGTAGATGCTTAATAGATGTTTATCGAATGAGTAAGTGAATGAATGAATTGCATTCATTCCTTAGGTTTCACCTATGACTTTTGTGTGTATAATAATACACTTAGATAATGATGATAATTAACAATTGTAAGTTAACAATTGTATACCTACTGTGTGCCAGGGAATATTCTAAGAATTTTACTGTTCTCATTAAGGATGATTATGACCCAGTGAGGCAAGTGCTTCTATTACCCATTTTGCAGATGAGGAAATTGTGGCCCAGAGAAGTTCAATGAGGGACCAAAGCTCAGCAAGTGGCATAGCTGGGGTCCTAACACAGGCAGATTAGCCCTAGAGCCTGTGC